GAAAGAGCCGGTTCTCTAAAAAGAGCCGGAAATCCCATCACTACTAGTTTATGAAAAAAAAAAATTGTAAAAAGAGAGAGAATATTTAGCGATTTTTTTCTTGAAGGATCCCATCTGGATTCATGTGCTAAAAAGGATTTATTGAAGAATCTCGCATTCCTGCAAAATGAGTCATTTTAAAACATTTTCACCATCATCTTATCACTGAACGGAATAAAAGAGAGCCTTTCCCATGTGTCCTGTGATTAGAACACCTTTTATCCTTCTCAAGTGGGAGTCAAGTATATGTATATACCTCGACAATCCTCACGTAGTCCCTGTGCTGGCTGCTAACCTCTTAGCATGCAGACTTAATGTGAGTGGTTCCAGTATGTGCGCAACTGTCGAAATGAATCAGATTTAAAGCAGCCCTGCCCTTGCCCCAGTTAAAAATGTCTGGGTCTGACGTGGCTGCATCTCCAAATATAACTCTTGTTTTTGTGAATCGGAAGGGAAAGACATGAACAAAGCGAGAGCAGCGGTCCACTTGAGAGCAAGGCTAGCATTTTTATCTTTCCCATTTCCATTTTTTTCTATTTCTTCACTCCCACCACTTTGCTGTTGATCACACTCTTTGTTAACCTCCCTTTGTTTCTAAAGAACGCGTTATCATCCTAGTCACAGTTGTCCCTGTTACCCGTTAGTTTACACTTTTATGTTCTGACTTTAGGCAAAGCATCACTCTCCCTTTTGACATTGTATCCTCTCTGAGGATTTCTTTTTCTGTCTATATGTGCAGCTTATGTCTTTGCACGTATGTTTTCTGCATAACAGCATCTAGCACCTTTTTGATGGTGTGTTTCTTCATCTTGTGTCTTCAGCTTTTATTCTTATTCAGTCTGTTTCTGAGAACTACAGAAGCAAGACTTCATATGTGTCAATGTTTTCTACAGTCCAGGCACTAACGCCCCCTCCTCCTCCTCATTCCCCTCTTACTCGCCTCTAATCGCTCCATCTCTTCATCTTCTTTCTGTATATCTGTGTTGTGTCCATTTCACTTGAAGAAAGTGAAAACCATCGATTATAGCTTTCCTGTTTTTCTGCTGTCTCTGAACTTTCTCCAGTTGCAGTTCAAAGTCATACATGCAATACATGCATGCTTCCACCACCCCTATTATATATTCATCAATGCATGTGTACATGAATCATTGCATTGCTGCACTGGCATGGATTTATGCTGGCTGGTTTCTTCTTTTTTACAATGGGTGAAAAATTAATTCAGTGAACGTTCTTTAAAATGGTTGTTTGTTTTTTAAAATTTGATATTTAGCGCTGCCAAGCAATTGCTACTAATAGCAATTTTAAATACTTTTTAATTTGAAAGTATTGAGAGTGGACCTGAAGCTTGCATTATAAGTGCCAATTTTGTCTAGAATTCTAAATACAATCAATTTTGAACAATATGAAACAGAGAAAAGCAGCAAATCCTCAGAATCTGCCATTAAACTATTAAAAGTAATAATCAATGTCATCATTAGTTAATTAGTTTATTATGTCAGCAAGGCTTTCCAGAACTAAGTGAAATTTAATTTCTTTTATGCTGGTGCAGTGACCTGTTCTTTCATGTTTCAAGACAAAGAAACTTATCATTAAAAAAAGGTTTGGAAGCCAGCTGATTGGAAATGGTTGACTGGTTTAAACCAACCAATATTCTCATTTTGATGGTGCTGGCAAATTGAGGTTGTGGAAGCTCTATTATAAACAAATTTCCAATTTAAACAGATTCACATTGTTCTCACATAGAACAATAATAATTTATCACTGTAGTCAAATGGTGCTCTGGATTCTTTATTTAGAAAATAGAACCATTACAGGTCCAGTGTGAACAAGTAGGAGAAAAATACAGAGTGAAAGTTGGTGCAGTTTTTAATTTTACTAAAATTTGACTTGGACTTTTTTTCCTTATAGAAAAAAGTATCTATTGTAATGTAACTATAAGGTAATTTAGCCCTAAAGTGATGGAGGACAAGTGAAACCACAGAACCATAGAATGTATATAAAAGATGGATGTAGTGCCTTAAACCTGCATTCTTTCCTGTGACCACCAGGGGGAACTCCTATGAATGCAAAAGGAAGTGTGTCATCTCAAACACTGGTTTCAGTCAGCTCTGCTACTCAGTCATCCAGTTTTGAAATGGCAATACGGCAACAGCAAAATTGCTGAGTTTGAAGTTTCACAAAATAATCTCATTAACTGTTGAGTGATAATGGCTGTGTATAAGTTTTATGTACAGTCTATGGCAAAAAAGCATTTGAATGTTCAGATAAAATTAATGTGCAGCTTCAGTGAAAGTTAAATACACCAAGCGAGGACCTTTTTTGTGTATTTTTTTAAACAAAATTCCCCGTCTTCTGTTCCTTGCTCAGTGTTTTTAGGACATTATAGCAGGAATAAACCCCACAGACCATAAGCACATAGAAAATACCGGCTTGATTTTTATCTTTTGCAGCATTTTCAGCACATTAACATTTTGATGGTTGGTTTTTCTGTCAAACTGATTAAAGAGCTGCGTGCCAACCAGCGACCTTTCCTTTCTCCTCCTTAAGTGACTATTTCGAGAACGAAGGACATGCTGCTGCATGTTCCCAGCAGCAGCAACAGCAGTGAAGGCTCACAGTGCTTAGCATTATAAGTTAATCATATTTTCGGTTTTTGGAGAACTGTGCCACGTAGCAGTCTCGTAGCAACGACAGCAGCCATAAAAGGCTCTGTTTACTGCTGTTAGGTTGTGGCAAAAAGGGTGAATCTTTATTTGGATGGACTAAAATAATTCAAAGTGATGACTGATTTATCTTTTTTCAAATATTTTTTTTTGCATTTTTACTTTAATTTTACAGTAAACATAGGAGTCAAAAATTATTTTATTAACCTCACCCCAAATATTTACTCTTTTACGCACTAACGATTCTCTAGTCGATGCATTTGCTGCATTTTTCTGTTCTACCTGTTGTGATGGGCATCTCTTGTCTATATGTCTATATTAAATAACATAGTCATGAATCATTATTTGCTGCCACAGCATGTAACTGTAGATCATCATACCAGTTAATGAAAACAAATCTTTGTTGTTCTGGTGTTTCTTAATCTTTTAAAATGAGATATATCCAGCATTGATAAGCAAACCTTTAATTTGTTGTGTAGCGATTGGTGAAGATGAACATGCCAATTGCAGATGACAACACAGTGCATTTCACCTCCACCCTGATGGCCTTGATTCGCACAGCCCTGGAGATCAAGCTGGCATCTGGTGAGACTAAAACTACAAAAGCCAGAATCCCTTGCAGCTGCCCTGACAGCTTTGATGTGAATGTGAATGGCGCTGAACTCTCTGGTGCAGATGCGATGTGACATGTTTGTGGGCTCATCCTCAGGCTTGCTGGCACAGCGTTTGTGCGATGCTGACCTGAAGAGGGAAATAAACCGAGTGTGGCCCAACTTGTCACAGAAGACCATGGACCTGCTGGTGACGCCGCATAAATGTGAGCTACAGCTGTGTGCGGGTTTTGATGGGATTTACTAGTTCTTGCTGGTTATATGGTTTTTATTTTTACTCACTTTACCTTTTAAGTTTTGTTTTTGCTATGGCTGTTTCCTTCTATCTTATCACTCTTGCTTGAGCTTGAAAGTTAGGCTAGATTAAAGAAAACAAACAGTTTAAAATGATAAAATAAATTCTGTTATTGAGATATACAGATTTTAGTTTTTAAAGTTAAAAAAAAGGTGTCTACTGTGGTGAGAACATTAAAGAGAAACACATCTGTTGTGAAGACATACTCGCCATAAAAAGTTAAAAATCACTGTACGGTTACCTAGTCACTAGTGGACTGTGTACTAACTACTTCATAAGATGATTAGTTTTTGTTGCCGTGTGTTTTCTTTTGTTTTGCTCGAGTAATCCTGCTGCAAACTGTTGCAGTCTCACCCCCGAGTTGCTGCTCCTCTGTCGCCATCTGCTGCTTACTTGGAGGAACTGTCTCTCACTTGTCTCTTCTAGATAACGAGCTGACTGTGGGGAAAGTCTATGCGGCTCTAATGATCTACGACTTCTATAAGCAGAATCGTGCTAAGAGACTCCAGCAGCAGAATTCTTCAGATGGACCTCAGGTACATCACGAAGCAAAAATCAGCCATGCGTTATTATCTCCAGCTCACTTCATCCAGTTAGAAAAAATCCTAAGCAAATGAGACTATTTGGTCACACCCATTGTCTGCCTTGCCCTCACTGGTTGCACCTGTTTCATGTTTGTTCCTTGTGTATTTATAGTCCCCTGTTCCCCTGGTTAGATGTCAGTCCATCTGTTTAGCAGCCTGTGTACCCTCTTCTTTATCCAACCTGTTTGCGTCCCACTGTGTGTTCATCTCCATTGTTTCTTTCCAGTTTTATTCTAAGTCATTGTGAGGTTATATTATTTTTGTGTAGTTTTTCCTGATCATCCAGCCTTAGTCACTTCCCATGCTTTTGTTTGCCAAGCTTCACTTTTGTTTGTTTGCTTCAGGCTGTTTCTGGGTTTTTTGTTCCTTCCTGTTTATTCATGTTAAAATTAAAGCTCGCCTTTCTTTGGTATCCTTGCCTCTTGAATTCCTTCCGTCTTTTGGTCCTTTTTAGATTTGTCTTCAGAGTATTTCTTGACACATTGATTTTTGATATTTGCCAAATTGAAGGATTCAAGTAAAAGGAAAGGGAAAGAAACAAAGCTGCTGCTATTTGAATTCAGAAAAGGGATTTTTTTAAAATCAGGTTGTTTGAAAGTGTCGTCTATAATGATGAGAATTATCACAGAACTCTACCACCTAGTCTTTTGGTTTTACAGATTTTGGTTTTGTTTAGTTACATTTACGTTGCTGTGTAAAAGTCTTGAGCCGCCCCTTCTTCTTTATGTTTTTAGTTGTATGTATAGGCACTTTGTTACTAGCAATCGGTAACAAAAACACATAATTCGATCCCATTTCCCACTAAATGCCCAATATCAAACTGTTCCAAAGGAACTATTAGCAAAACACTTACACTGCACTGGAAACGGACAATTGGAGGACAACAGTGAGTGTCTACAGCCATCTGTAAAACACATTAAAGGCTCTGTCATTGCTCAGTTTCTTTGCATTTAAGCCAGTGGTGTATGGGGTGTGGTCAAATCTGATGAAATCAGAAAAGTAACATCAGATTTTGATCCATCATGCATTAACATCTGGAAAGCACTTGATTGGGAGTGGCTTCATTTTTCAGCAGGATAATGATCCCAAACACAATGCCAGTGCAGTAAAAGCATACCTGGATAGAAAAACACACAATGAAACACTATCAGTCATGAATCGGCCTCAGAGGAGCCCAGACCCCAACAGTATTGAAGCAGTGTGGGATCATCTGCCAACATCCAAATAAGAGCTTTCAGTGTCTTTCAAGAAGCCCGGAGAACTATTTCTGAACACGTGTTTCAATACATGCCCTGTTAGGAAATGATGGTTGGCTCATAATCAAGATGAAAAAAATAGTCTATAGCATTAACCTTTGTACGTGTTAGATGTGTTAATAAGTAGATTTAAATATAATTATACTAGCTTTAATATTTTCTCCACTGATGTTTTGTCAACTCTATGCTATCCTTCTTTCTCCAGAGTAAATTGGGGTCCTTGTTCCGTCCTGTACTGCCATTCACTCACATACAGGAAATAGAACCACCGTTCTCCAGGCCCAAACAAGTCCTCTCACCTGAGCCTGAAAAGAAACCAGAGGCCTCGACAGCTACCAACACCAACACCTTGATTAACAAGGACACAATGTAAGTGACTTTATCTATGTCGTTCCAAATGAAGGAATGACAAGCTGGGAGTCATCAGCATTGCAAAGAATATCATTGCAAAGAATTACTCCCTCATTAGACAGCTGACTCAGATTGTTCGGGGTTCTCCACACGATGCACGTTGCACAAACAGATGCTCAGAAAAAGCCATAAACTGTTGATCTGTGAAACATTTGCAGGCAAACCAGATACAACGGCAGCCAGATTGAGTTATTTTGATTTCTTTTTCCTGTTCATATTCAACCACATCCCTGGCCATTATAACCTAGCAGGGTTTGAATTGTTTACAGTTTTATTTGAGGAAATCAAACTGAAATCAATGAGTTCATCTGAATCCAGCAGGCTCAGAATGACTGGAATTAAACTACAGACCTGAAGTAAAACCTCCTTGACACTGCAACGCTGACAGCATCCGATATTACAGTCAGAGTCTTTGTTTCTTGCACAGACTCAACCACAGGACTGCCATAAAACATTCCCAGTCTGGAGATGTTTCTCAGGCTTCACAGAGGCCCAAAAGTCGAAGAAAGCTGCAGAGAGGCCAGTCGGAGGATGTGCAAAATTTAACAAGACCTCAGGTAAAAAAATCACAGTCATTAAAATGTTTATTATATAACATACACTCTAAGTATATGCACTTATGCCTGTGTTGTCTTTCCTTTAGGAACAGGTTGAACTGAAGCAGGTGGAGAACACTTCAGATGCAGAGGCATATCCCAGCCTGGAAGGTCACTGCAGAGCAGCCTCTCTTCCCCGACTAAATGCTGAATACTACGTAAGCTCTCTGGTGCTCATGAGGTCATGCCTCTTGTTTTACTACTCACAGGAAGAATCTTACAATACTTTTTTGTTTTCTAGATTCTTGTTTTAGTCCAGAAATTGTGCAACATTTTTTTTTTTAGCTAAAATGGACTGAAAAAGGCTGATGGGCTGCTGAAGGGTTACTGGTTAGAGGATGCAGCCGGAAGCAGTGGCTCTCTGTCAGTCCGCATCAATTCAGCCTGTTGACCTCCCCTGAGAATTTCAGATATTTTACCAAGGAGGAAATTCAGCATGGAGATGTGTAAAGAATAAAAGATACAATAAATATGCAGATAGAGGAAATTAGTTAACAGGAAGCAGCTTCACACTAACTGAGAGGAGCTATCACACCTGGCAGGGACAAAAATATTTGGAACTATAAAATACTGTGTCTAATTTTTTGGTTTCTGTACTTTGATCATAGCTCGCTCGTTACCAAATCCATTAACTAAAATGCATCCAGTGTAGAAACAACAATTTACTCTACCTTTGATGCGATAGAAGGTTTTGTTAATTTGTACTGATGTAGAAAAGGCAATGATATTACCAAGGCAATAACCAGATGAGATACAGCACTGAGAGTTCTTAAAGCATGACAAGCTTGAAGTCTCTTTTAAAGATAAGTGATAGATAAACCTTAGATATGACGTCTCAGATATTAAAAGCTCACATAATGCACAGACATGACAGTAATGCTTTTCTTTTGTAAATGTCTGAATGGAAACAGCTAAGCACATTACCTAAGATGTTTAACTTTAAGTTTATATCTCCTGCGACCAAACACTAAAATAAAGTATTTTATAATATGCATTTCTATGAGTGTAGAGTGCTGCAGGGATGGGTCTTAAAACCCAGAAATGATTTGACATTTTGCACCAGTTACTCCAGTTCAGTTGTCGCTAAAACAGCGAGTTTTTTGTTAAATGCATGAATTGATAAGTGTATTTAATGTAAACTTCAAAGATTTTACATTAAATACACTACGCATTTCATTCTAGAACATAAAAATAGGTCTGCTACCAACCAGCTGAATGAGAAGCTATATCATAGCTAACATAGGAGGTTAGGTGGTGAAGTCATGTGACCGTAGTGCAGTCAATTTAGAGACAAATGTTAACACTTTACATAGTTATATTAGAAAAGGTCATAAACCATATGCTGCATGATTATTATATAACATTAAAATTAGGTATCTTTCAGTTTTTGTTTTTGCGATGCAGATTGAAAAAGCTGGCATAAAAATCAAACTGGCTTGTTGTCACGGAAACCAGTTTGATGCTGACTGGTCTAGTTGAAAACTGGTCTAATTTTCTTACATTTTTATGATATTTACTGTAATCACGCTCACCTACAAGAACGTCTGAGTTTTGCGTGACTGCACTAATTTGTTCATTTTTATGACATGCACTTTTTTAACAACCATTATTAATTATTTCACTTTTGTGAGTTACAGTAGCTGCTCGTGGCTGCTGCATTTGGATGTCATGTTAAGATAAATTTTCTGTCCATCATTTCTGTGTTTCTGGATTTTTCCACCTGTCAGATCTTGTCAGTTTAGCCTTGCCGTTTGCCTGTCTGCGTTTGTGTGTCTGTCTCTGTCGTTCTGCTCTCTTCCACAACACGTAACATGTGCTTTCCTTATGTTTATGTTGCATTTGGATTTCTCACGCTCTCTCTATTTTAACGGACCAGGCTGGAGTTACTCTGTTTTTCATTTCTGTTAAGACGTTTTTGCAAAGGATCAAACCCAACAATGTGCAAGTTCATAGATTAATATTTAACACTTTTTCTAATACTTGTTTTTAGAGCAAAGATTAATCAAGTATGAGTAAATACTGCAAATGTCACATTTTTGATGCTCTTTTAATGTTTTTAAAGACACAAAATAATGTCAAATGTAGCTGGTGTACATACAGAGGTGCTGATTGCAATAGGGCTTAGTGAAGTGAAATATACATGAGTTTGTGGTAAATAAAAATACTCCAAGGAGGCAACATTACAGAAGAAGCAGCTTCTCTTGGAAGTCACAAAGCAGAACAATGTGAACACATGATAAAGAGACAATTTTGTACACTTTTCTACTTAATTGTCTTTTAAAAGCATTTGAACACATTGACTGCACCTTATTCTTATTGCAAAAAAATCATAAGACTGGCAACAGATTGAGCAGAACATGTTATAAGACATTGTTCTCATCACCCCTAAGCCTGGTTTTGAGCACCTCCCCCCTGTTAGATCCTCTCCTCCCACCTGAACACCATACGCTACTGTGAGCCACCACACATATGGGCAAAGTTAATTTCAAATTCAGGACATGATTCACACCAGCTGCAGTGCCCATCACCATGCTTATGCTCAGACCAAAGTATTCAGTGAGTTCCTACTACATCCATCTTTGAACTCAGCCTTCATTTCAGTCAGGAGTCCGGATCGCTTTGATCAAAAAGAAGATTGTTATTCCATCTGCAATAATTTCGACTTGATGGCATGGCATGATATTGCAGCCAGAGGCAGAGAGAGCTGCAGTGAGGCCCCTATACAAAACAAAGTGGGTATCAATGACAACAGACGTGGCATTGATGTGAGATTTGCCATTTAAATGTGAAGAAGGAAAGAAAAAGTGTGTTGTCATTGAGATCAGCTGACATAGCTGATCTGGTCTCCATGGCTTGTATAAAACTAATGCTATGCGCCTGATATCAGCTACACACCTGTAAAGTTTGTGGCTTTATACAAATGACACATATCTGCCATTTGTTGTTTTTCCAGACAAAATCTAACCTTTTACTTTTTCAGTATTAAAAGTTTGAAAGACTTTCTATCACATGACTGTTTCCTCCTGTCCACATACAGACAGCCGTTAAGTATTAAAATGACTAAAAACCACATTTTGTGTTAGTTTCCATACAGTCGATGTCTCCGTCTGGTAATGATGACACATGTGTGCGTTGACAAGCAGGATGAACACATTGTTGGTTTTGGTCTTTTCATTGACAGAAATATAATGCAGAATATCAACTGACTCATCCTTCTTCAGATTCTGCTCTCCTTTTCTGTCTTCCCTTTCTCCTGATTTCGATGCTCACTGCTAATGTTTTGCCCACCTCCTCTTGTGTGTGCTGTCTGATAGCGGAGCCACCCTCGCCACGCCCCTGGGACCCACCTGGCAGTATGTACCACCTGTTGTGCCACACCTCTCTTTCTTCTCCTCTCTCCTCCTCTTGTCCACACCCTCTTCTTTTTCTTCTTTTCTCATGTCTGTTTACCTCCATGTGCTCCTCTCATCACAGGAGTTCACACCCTCCCCACCATCATTGATAAAATGACCCCCACCTCACAGTTTAATAACTGCTCATCCCATTAGACTGTTGATAGACACAGTAGACACATTAAAACCCAGTATTAGCCGTTAAACATACCCAGAAAAAGCATTTGTATGTTTAACTGAGGTATGTCAAGCACTCTGTCCTGCTTTTCAGTATTTGTTACAGCAGTACAGTACTACACTTTGGTAAAAATGGGTGTATGTATGTAAGTGTTGTTATCTAGTGTGTAGTTTTTGCTTGTGAGTTAGTGTGATCTTTAAAAAAGAAACACAAGGTTGAGACAGTACTGCTGCTTTTCTGCTATCTAAAAGGTTTTCTTTTTAAAACCTTCTCCAACTTTATCTGTCATTTGTTGTCATGTTTGGTCTTAAAATCTTATTTTTCCAGACAAAATCGAATCTTTTATAGCCTCTTAGTTGAAGGCATGTTCTCTGTTAAAAGACAGAAAACCTTTCTATCACATCACTGTTTCTTCCAGTGGTGTGAATAGAGACAGGAAGAATTGAGAGATTATACCACTAATCTAAGAGGTAAGATTTTAAGACTGTGGACTAGATAAACTGACTTGGTAATATGATTTAGATTTTATTTTGTTGGCAGTGTTGTGATATTGTTGTGTGACTGTTGCTACAGGCTAGACTGTGAGGTAGGAACAAAAAGAACAGCACGTCCAACCTATTCCTGCCTGTGAAAGCAGCAACCAATGTACAAAAAAATAAAGAAGAAATGAAAGAAAAAAACGTTTATCCACCAACCGTGTTTATCTGTTTTTAGTGGGCTTACAGTATGATTAAAGACAATGTTTTTGATTGGCTAAAATAATTAAATAAAATCTACACAGTAACCAGCAGGTGGGGTTGTAACTCAGCTGCTGTTCCAGCTTCCTATCACACAAGTTACCTGGTAGCTGTACTGGTCAGTAAGGTAAGACTTTGTTGGAGAGAGTGTCACTGTCCTCCAGGCATTTATTCAAAGTACTTCAGGGAAAATTAAGGATGACTGTGCAAATTTAAAGTAACACACCTCTTTATAATTCTGCTTCAAACACTATATATTATAGGCTGTCTGGTAAAAAAATAATGGCTCACTAAGCAGCTAATGAGCCTATTTTCTCAGGCGCTGGTACGGTAGACCCAAAACAGAGCAAAAAGGAAAATTATTTTAATCAGGCAGACACAGACATAAATACTTATAATACTAATGTCTCTGTAAAGTTAATCACAACTACTGATACATCAGTACTGTGTTTCCAGCATGTTTTGGTTGAATGTAGCACAGGTAAACTCTCTTTGGGTGTACATGGCCATATTTTGGCAAAATATGAGTGTCTGGATCATCTTCACATGTGAGTAATTAGATTAAGATATAGCTGTTGGTTGGGGAGTAAAGCAAAGCAACAAGCAACTAAATTTTAGGCCTGATGGCTAAAAACGATACAATAAGTTGTCACTTGGGCACTGGGTATTCACAATGTATTGGAATTTAAAAACAGTGGATAATAAACAAAAGCACAAGACACTGTAATTAGCTAGTTACAGTTATTGACTTTCTCATCTCCTCTATACAGGCATTTCTAACATAATTCATTTACAAAAAGAGACAAAACACCATGAAAAAGTCAAGCTGTACAAACAAAATCACTTTTTCCCAGATATAATCCTGATCATAAATTTCTTTAGCCACAATAATACAGAGTAACTTGATATTTTGACAGCCCAAGCTGCCACAACCTTAATTTGAGGCTAACCTTGTAGTAATTGACTCATTATTTACATTCTTTGTAAAGTTAGATGTACCCTCTTGGGAAAAGAATAAAATGCCACAAAGCCAGTGTCACCACCCCCACCTTTTCTTTGTTCACTAACAGAGTTGCTAGTGAAGTCCAGTAGCTTCAAGTTGTGTGACAGATTTTTGTTCCTTCTTGTTAATTTTTTTAACATCTGTGCTTTGAGTAGATGGGATCGAATGTCAGTCTTTAAACAAAAGGCTGTCTCATTGTGTGTTGTGCATATTTTTGGTGATTTACTAAAATTGATTTGGGTAAAAACAACTACTTCCAGCTTCACGCGCTCTAGTCTCATAACACATCTGTCTTCCCTTCTCAGCCAATTGTGGACCTCAGTCCTATAAAGCGCTCAGCATCCTCGCTGACACCACAGCACTATTACCAGGATGTCGGGCTGAAGGACTATGACCTGGAACGCCCCGGTCAGGCTCAGTCCTCTGGAGGGATGGGCCAGGTCCAGGGCCAAGACAGAGCCCACCACCATCACCACCATCACCGCTGCCATAGACGCAGGGATAAGGACAAAGACAAGAAGCAGAAGTCTCTGGATAGAGCTGCATCAGTGCAGCCATCCAGCACCGTTGGTGAGGCATTCTTATTATATGCAGTGTTGGTCAAGTTACTTGAAAAAAGTAATCAGTAACTAATTACTGATTACTTCCCCAAAAAAGTAATCCCGTTACTTTACTGATTACT